CCACCACCCTGTGGCCTGGGGGCAGTGCTGGGGGGGTGCTCCCTGGCATGGGGCCACCCCATGGTTAATGCAGCAGTGCCTAGAGGGGCAGGCAGCCCAAGAGCAGTCAAACCCTGCAGTGGCAGCACTAAATCTGTTTGTTGCAGGTGTGCAAGTTCCTCATCCAGCTCAGCATGGATTTCAGCTCCTACTATAACCGTGTCCACATCCTGGGGGTGAGTCAGAAAACACAGGCAACTTGCTGAAGGACGGAATGGGTGCAGACAAGATCTTGCCCTTGGGCTGAGCTGTATCACAGGGACAGCCAGCAGCAGGATAAAGCCCCGGCCCCAGCTCACTGCCTTTCTCCCGCAGGAGCCCTTCCCTCATCTCTTTGAGCAGATGTTTGCTCGCCTCCAGCTGATGGCAGCCGTGAGGGACATGTTCCACAGCGCCCTGGCCACCCTGCACCTCCCGCCTCTCACCCAGATCTGAGCTGCTGCTGGGGCACCACGGGACACGAGAACAAGGACAGTGCGGGCCCTCCCGGCAGGGCCAGGGGTTGCTGCCGGCCGCGCAGGGCACTCGGGAGCCCCCCGGGAGCCTCCTACCCAGGCCATGGAGCATTTGGCTCTGTGTGCTCAGGGCAGCCTGGCTGGGGAAGCGAGGGAGTCCCGCCTCTCACCCAGATCTGAGCTGCTGCTGGGGCACCACGGGACACGAGAACAAGGACAGTGCGGGCCCTCCCGGCAGGGCCAGGGGTTGCTGCCGGCCGCGCAGGGCACTCGGGAGCCCCCCGGGAGCCTCCTACCCAGGCCATGGAGCATTTGGCTCTGTGTGCTCAGGGCAGCCTGGCTGGGGAAGCGAGGGAGCCACGGGCTCACTCCAATACAGCTGCTGCTGGACAAGTGCTGTGTGTGACTGCGCCACGCCAAGGGAGGTGGGGATGGACACATGTGGCCAGGGGCTGGGAAAGGAGGGCCCCTGGTACCAGCTTGTGCTCGTGCCTGGCTTTGTGTAACAAGATACAGCTCCAAAAGTGTTTGGTGAGAGACTGACACGTGCTCCCTCAGCGCTGAATGTGCTCCAAGCACCTCCAGGGCAGCAGGAAGGCCCCATCCTCCCTTAACTGCTGCCTTCTCTGCCTTCCTCTGAGGGCAGAGCCAGCCCCACGCTGGGGCTCGTCCTCCCTGGAGAGCGAACGGTCCTACGGGAGGTCACTTGCCCTGCTGGCCTCCAGCACCTGGGCACGAAGAGGGGCAGAGACCTGGCCCTGCTCATCACGAGGGCTTGTGACCACGGATATCTTCGCATTGCTCGGGCTGGGGTTGGAGCCCCCTGCACAAGGGTCCCATAGCCCCAAAGGACGAGCCAGAGCTCACGTGGCACCTAGCCTGGTCCCCAGCTCTTCACTGCTGCCAGGAGAGCCCTACAGCCGCCTTCTCCCCACACAGCCAGGCCCTGGTGCCCCAGGGGAGCCCGTGTGTGCCCAGGCTGGGCTGTCACCACAGCCGCCCCTCACAGGGTCACGTCGGGCTGCGGGGTGCAGGCGGCAGCCGCGGTGCATCGCACCATTTCGAGGCCCTGCCCGCAGAGCACGCTGCAGTAGAGCAGCTCCCCGCCAACCTCCGCCTCCCAGCAGTCCATCTCGGCCAGGTCGGGCACGTGGAAAAACGTGGTGCTGAGCGGCTCGAGGCCGCG